GCACATACACCCAGATACAAGTCCCAGACATGAAGCCTGTTACCCATGCTACACCATGCTTCAAGACACAATGTCATGATTTGTCTTTAGAAATAGATATCTCACAATCTCGAATGACATATTGTTCTTGTGATGAATCAGTCTGCTTTCATGATGTTCCATTTGTAACCATGATACCACATCCTGCCTATCAGATAGTTACACGACGATTCATCGCAGTAGCAGAATGACAGTGATGGAGTAGCAACGAAAATCATTTTATGGTTGGGGGTCACCACCGCATGAGGAACTGTCTGAAAGGGTTGCGGCGTTAGGCAGGTTGAGAACCACTGCTCTAGGGGAATTTCATCTCTTGGCCAGAAAAAGGGGAGGGTCTACTGGTGGGGGAGGGCCCTTTGCATACACTTAGCCTTTGACCTAGGAATCTCTGGGTGTTGCCGGCAGGTTATGTCCAGCGACCAAACGAAGGTCGGTGGGCTGGCACTAACAGTGCTGCTGCAGAAAAGCCCGGCGACCTGCTCCTGTAAAGACGGACCGCCCAGAAAAGCCCATGAATAACAGGCATCGCTGAAGATTAACGATGAACCCGAGAAGCACAAGGCCCTGGATTGGCCCGGGGGACATGGCGCGCAATGAACATAGCCCATCCCCGAAGGGCAAGCATTATTGTTTGCTTTTTCAGTTTTCTGAGAAACTGAACCCTAACCAAACTCAGAGCCGTCGAGTGGTGGCTGACTCACAGCGACCCTGCAGGAGTAGAGAGCCCAGTCTTGCTTCCGTGGCGCTGCTCCTGGTTTCGAACTGCTGACCATGCAGATCACAGCCCGACGCGTAACCACACCCCCAACGGCTCAGTGAGCTGCAGCGATCCTAGAGGGCTGGGTGGAACGGCGCCCCTGTGAGTTCCCGAGCCTGTAGCCCTTTTGATTGATTGGATGTAAAGTCTTATGGACACGCCACCCACATATCACACAATTCAATATTGCAATCCTATCAAGAAGAGTTGTGCCATCATCACCACAATCAATTGGAGAATATTTTTCTAACACCCCACCCTCACTCCCCGCCCCCCACCACCCCATGGTTAAATCGCTTTTTAAAATGAGTTGCGTAATCACCGTCAGTTCTAGTGCCCCCTCCCCACTCCTGAGACCTGTCACTCTTCACGGGAGGGGAAGGCTTCTTTGGTCTCCCTTGGGGCAGTTGGTGGTTCTGAACTGCTTACCTTCTGGCTGGCAGCCTAACATGTAACCCACGATGCCACCAAAGCTCCTGCAGCTCTGGCCAGGGCCACCCGAGGCACAGTGACCCCATCTACGCCAGAAGGAAATACGGCCCTGTCCCGCGACCCCCCAGAATGGTTAAGGTGAGCCCATTGTTGCAGCCACTGTGTCAGTCCATCTTGGCGGCGCCTCCTCCTTTCCAGGGTCTTCTGCCTTCCTCCCCGTGCACCCCCTGGATCCAGCCACGCGTGGGTCACGGCGCCTGCCTTGCCTCCGGCCAGGAATGCCTCCCACAGCGGCCTGGCCTCCACGCATGCCTGAGGCTGCGCTGTGAGAGCTCACCCCGACCCTGACCCCGGATTCCTGCCCAGCAATCTCTCCCTGTGTGTCCCCAGGCAGGCCACCCCCCAGGGTGCGGGGATGGGGTGGGGACCTTCTCTCCTGTCCTGTCTCTGGGTGACCGCTCCTCTCGATGTTTTGTTCCTGCACTCCGTGTGTCCAGGGCCTGGCCTGCAGCTCTCGCTCCGCTGGAGGGGAGGAATGGCAGTGACCGGCCAGTGTGCCCGGTCAGAGGACTGGTGAAGCAGGGAGACCTCTGGGGGTGGCATGAGGGTGGGGGACAGCAGACACAGCTGTAGGCTGAGGTGGGGAGGACACAGGTGTCTGTCGGTGGTGCGCCAAAGAGCCCTGAGTGGTGCAGTAGCCACGCAAAGGTCGGTGGTTCAAACCCACCAGCCACACCGAGGGAGGAAAAATGAGGCTTTCTACTCTCATAATAGATCCACAGCCTCGGAAACTCACAGGGCCCGTTCTGCTGGGTCCCTTAGCGTTCCCTATACATCGGGATCAACTCAACCACAGGGAGTTTGTTTTTTTTCCAGGGGAGGGGAACTGCAAATAGTTCAGTACACTTGTGGGATGCAAAACGGTTTTTCCCCAGGTTCTCTTCCCCAAATATACGCCAAACCTAGGACACTGCTTGCACACCTGGTAAATGATGGCACACTCATCTCCCAGAGGGTGCCAGCCATCTACGGAGGTACTTCTCAACCTTCCTCATGCCGAGACCCTTTCAGACAGTTCCTCGTGTGGTGGGGACCCCCCAACCATCAAATGATTTTCGTTGCTACTTCATCCCTGTCATTTTGCTACTGTGATGAATCGGGCGACCCCTGGGAAAGGGTCATTCAACCCCCAAAGGGGTTTCGACCCACAGGTTGAGAACCGCTGGTCTGGAGCAATCAGACCCTATTGTCTGTCCCACCCTAGCTGGGGTCCCACTCCCTTCTGATAAAGACAGTGGATTGTTCCCCTGAAGGAGAGTCCAGAGACGAGGGCAAACCCACTCAAGGGTGACCCGGGTTAGGCTGCCATGTGGAATCTGGGGTCTGCCCGTCTTGTCACCTGTGTACCCCTAGTCCCTCCCCTTCTTAATGCGGGTACACCCCTAGCTCACCCCCTTCCTGTCTTGCGTTTGGCTGTTGGACAGCCCCTTCCTGTTGGGTATGTGGTTACCTGCAATTAGGAGGGCTCTCGCCCCCCCTAAGTATATATAAGCCTTGGTTAGAAATATATTCTCTCGCTCTCTCGGTGCGGACCTGGCTCTGAGATCATGGCCGTCCCGGAGGTGAGCATGTGACCCTGAAATGTGTCTGACTCCTTTCTTTTCTTCCCTCTCCTGTGTTCTGTGACTGCACTATCATCTTTATAGATTATAGCCGTACAGTTGTGCCCACGGACCCCTGGGTTGTCAGAGGCTAGTTGCCTCCGACATGCTGGTGGTGGTGGTGAGGTGCCCTTGGGCCTGTCCTGACTCGTAGCGACCCAACAGAGGGAAACCCCACACGGTCCTGCGCCGGCCTCTCTCCAGCCGCCAGTCCCACCTGACCACGCATCCAAAGCCTCACCATCCCGGCCTCTAAGAAGCGTTCTGGCCGGGCTCCTCCCACGGCAGATTTGCTTGTTCCCGTGACTTCCCAAAGCTCCCTGGCCAACACCGTCTTTCAAAGGCATCCGTTCTCCCGTCTTCAGATGAGGAGCCCCAAAAGGAGTCCTGCTGGCACAGGGGGTTATGTGACAGGCTGCTCACTGCGAAGTCGCCAGTTCGAAACCACCGGCTGCACCGAGGGAGAAAGATGAGGCTCTGTACTCCCGGCGAGAGTTATCGTCGGAAACCCACGGGGGCACTTCGACCCTGTCCTGCAAGACTGCTGTGAGCCAGAACAGGCTCGATGGCCGTGGGTTTGGATGCGTGGGTTTATGGGCCAACAGAGCGGTGGGGGGTTCGAACCCACGCAGAGAGGGGCATCTTGGACAACAGGCCCATTGGCCTGCTCCCCTGTGGTCCCAGCTTCAGAGCCCTGTAGAGCCTCCTAAAGCCCCAGAGGGCTATCAAGTTGGTGCCCAAGTGTGGGGG